AGTATCGACATTTTTACTATGTTGATTCTACCAATCCATGAGCATGGGAGATCTCTCCACTTTCTATAGTCTTCCTCAATCTCTTTCTTCAGAAGTGTATAGTTTTCCTTGTAGAGGTCTTTCACATCTTTTGTTAGGTTTACACCTAGGTATTTGATTTTTTTGAGGCTATTGTAAATGGAATTGTTTTCATACATTCTTTTTCCGTTTGCTCATTGTTAGTGTATAGAAATGCTAATGATTTTTCTATGTTGATTTTATATCCTGCTACCTTGCTATAGCTATTGATGATGTCTAGAAGCTTCTGAGTAGAGTTTTTTGGGTCTTTAAGGTATAGGATCATGTGTCTGCAAATAGGGATATTTTGACAGTTTCTTTACCTATTTGTATTCCTTTTATTCCTTCTTCTTGCCTAATTGCTCTGGCTAGGAATTCCAGTACTATGTTGAATAGGAGTGGAGATAGTGGGCATCCTTGTCTGGTTCCTGATTTTAGAGGGAATGGTTTCAGTTTTTCTCCGTTAAGTATAATGCTGGCTGTAGGTTTGTCATATATAGCTTTTATAATGTTGAGGAACTTTCCTTCTATTCCTAGTTTTCTTAGAGCTTTTATCATGAAATGATGTTGGATCTTATCAAAGGCTTTTTCTGCATCTATTGAGATGATCAAGTGGTTTTTGTCTTTGCTTCTGTTAATGTGGTTTATTACGTTTATTGATTTTCGTATGTTGAACCACCCCTGCATCCCTGGGATGAAGCCTACCTGGTCGTGGTGAATAATTTTTTTGATGTGTTGCTGAATTCGTTTGCCATTTTTTGTTGAGGATTTTTGCATCAATGTTCATTAAGGAGATTGGCCTATAGTTCTCCTTTTTGGAGGTGTCTTTGCCTGGTTTTGGGATAAGTGTAATACTGGCTTCATAAAATGTGTTTGGCAGTTTTCCTTCCCTTTCTATTTCATGGAACAGTTTAAGGAGGGTTGGTATCAGTTCTTCTTTAAAGGTCTGATAGAATTCAGCAGAGAATCCATCAGGTCCTGGACTTTTCTTTTTGGGAGACTCTTGATTGCTGCTTCAATTTCATTTTGTGTTATAGGTCTATTCAGGTGATTAATTTCCTCTTGGTTCAGTTTTGGATGATCATATGTATCTAGAAATCTGTCCATTTCTTTTAGATTTTCAAATTTATTTGAATATAGGTTCTCAAAGTAGTCTCTGATGATTTCCTGGACTTCCATGGTGTTTGTTGTTATCTCCCCTTTTGCATTCCTAATTCTACTAATTTGGGTTTTTTCTCTCCTCATTTTAGTCAGGTTTGCCAGGGGTCTATCGATCTTGTTTATTTTTTCAAAGAACCAACTTTTTGTTTCATTAATTCTTTGTATGGTTTTTTTGGTTTCTATTTCGTTGATTTCAGCTCTTATTTTTATTATTTCTCTCCTTCTATTTGTTTTGGGATTTGCTTGTTCTTGTTTTTCTAGGAGTTTGAGATGTATCATTAGGTCATTGATTTGGGATCTTTCAATCTTTTTAATATATGCACTCATGGCTATAAACTTTCCTCTCAGGACTGCCTTAGCTGTGTCCCATAGTTTCGGTAGGTTGTGTTTTCATTTTCATTGACTTCCAGGAACTTTTTAATTTCCTCTTTTATTGCATCGATGATCCATTCTTCATTAAGTAATGAGTTATTTAGTTTCCAGCTGTTTGCATGTTTTTGTCTTTACTTTTGTTGTTGAGTTCTACTTTTACTGCATTGTGATCAGATAGTAATGCATGGTATTATTTCTATTTTCTTATATTTGCTGAGGCTTGCTTTGTGCCCTAGGATATGATCTATTTTGGAGAAGGTTCCATGGGCTGCTGAGAAGAATGTATATTGTGTAGAGGTTGGATGAAATGTTCTGTAGACATCTACTAGGTCCACTTGATCTATTGCATATTTTAGATCTTGGATTTCTTTATTGATTTTTTGTTTGGATGACCTATCTATTGATGATAATGGAGTGTTAAAGTCTCCCACAACCACTGTGTTGGCGTTTATATATGCTTTTAGGTCTTTCAGGGTATGTTTGATGAAATTGGGTGCGTTGACATTGGGTGCATACAGATTGATGATTATTATTTCCTTTTGGTCTATTTCCCCTTTTATTAGTATGGAATGTCCTTCTTTATCTCGTTTGATCAATGTAGGTTTGAAGTCTACTTTGTCAGAGATAAGTATTGCTACTCCTGCTTGTTTTCGGGGGCCATTGGCTTGGTAAATCTTCTTCCAGCCTTTCATCCTAAGCATATGCTTATTTCTGTCGGTGAGATGAGTCTCCTGTAAGCAACAAATTGTTGGATCTTCTTTTTTAATCCATTTTGTCAAACGGTGTCTTTTGATGGGTGAATTAAGTCCATTAACATTAAGCGTTAGTACTGATAGGTATGTGGTGATTCCTGCCATTTAGTTGTCTTAGTTGTTTGAAGGTTTGATTGTGTGTACCTAACTTGATGTTACTCTCTACTGTCTTGCTTTTTCTTATCCTGTGGTTTGGTGCTGCCTGCCTTTTCATGGTTAAGTTGGGTGTCACTTTCTGTGTGCAGGATCCCTTGCAGAATCTTTTGTAATGGTGGCTTTGTGGTCACATATTGTTTTAGTTTTCTACAGAATTCTTAAGAGACCCTGACACATTCCTAAGAGTTGTCCCAATTTACACTCCACTAGCAATGTTTACTCAAAAGCTGCTTAGCATTTTTCTCAATTTATTTAGTGTATCAATCCCCTGCTATTTACAAGGCAGGCAGCTTAGAAAGTAGTTAAGAAACTGGGAATCTGGGACCAGGCTGGAGTAGCTCTATAACCCAGGAATACAAATTGTGTACTCAGTCTCTTCTTTCTTTCCCCATCCCCTCCAAATCAATTCAGTCTAAAGTCATTAGGTGGGTCCAAGGGAATCAGGTATTTATCTGGGGGAGAATAAGCAAGGTGGTCCAGAGCAAGACACTGGAGCCAGAATGAGATAAGAAAGGTGTTCTACCAGCAAGGGTGAAAAGGACATTGCAAAGAGGGTGGCCTGGCAAGTGCTGGAGCCTGAGTAGTAGTAAGGCTTCTGTGCAGAAGGGGTTCCAATGCAGCAGGGTGTGAAAGGATCTTCCTGAGAGAATATGGTGTACAGCAGGAGAATGAGCAGGCTGAGCAGAGCATCTCACATGGGAAGGTTCCCTAGCACAGAGTGCAAGAGCCCAAGGGTGTGAACAAGTATCTCCTGGAGAGAGTGCTTGACCAGAGCAAGATACTGGGTTCCAAACAGGGGAGGAAGGGGTAAGGGGTGTTCACAGGGGAGCTGGGGGAGAGGCCTGGAAGGCAGAACTGGAGTCAAAGCAAGGTGAGAAAGGTGTCACCACACACCAACAGTCTCATGTGTATATCAAAGCCTGAGAGGAAGGAAGACATTGTGATACAAAACTGACTTATACACTAGGGGACTTATCAAATAAGTAAAAGTACTAAGGACAATAGAAACTCAGTTTTTCACTTTTGGAGAAGAGTTATACAGAAAGGTTAGACTAAATCCTATAGCTCTGATGAACTGGAATCATCTATGTGAACCCATGAGTGTCAGTGTGTAGATACAAAGTAAGAAATAATTACATACACCTCCATGTTTGTGTACTCCATAGCTTAGCTCTGTCCACTAAGAGGATCTGAAAAGCAATGACACACCAGGAACAGAGAAAAACTTCATTTCTATATACTATTCTTCACTAAATGGGACCAGTGTACCTTGAAGAAATGTCCAATTTCAGGGGTGGAGAAGAAAAATTACAGAATGAGTCTAGAAAATCTCATTAAGCCAAAAAGCAAAGAGGTGCTTAAAGAATGATGGAAATCTGTGCGTGGTGGCACATACTTATAATTCCAGCACTTGGGAGGCAGAGGCAGGGCACTGCAAGTTCCAGGCAAGCCTGGGCTCACAGCAAGACTAAGTATGAAAAAACCAAAAAGAACAACAGATGATCAAAAAGGACAAAAACTTAGCTTACTGGGCTCCTACAGGCCAAACTGGGGTCACTTTGTACAGAAGAAACAAGTAACTATAGTAATGGAATGCAACACATTGAACAAAATACAAAACCATGAGTTCATACTAATACAAGTATCTGCAAAAAAATTCACTGTGATGACAAATGGGATATTTACAGGGTCTCAAAGTACCTCTCCACAAAACACTTAAAAATTTTCATAGTGAATACTCCGGCCTGATTCCTTTGTTTCTTTCCCAAACACGGACAATACTAGAAATTGAACCCAGGGCCTTATACTTGGTAGGCAAGTGCTCTACCACTTAAGCCACATCACAGCTATTGTTTTGTATTTTGTTTCTAAGATAGGGTCTCACTAATTTTGCCTGCGCTGTCCTCAAACTCACAATCCTCCTGCCTTTACCTTCTGAGTAGCTGGGATTGTAGGCATGTACCACCATGCCTGGTTTGGCATATACCATCTTAACCAGGTGACCAAAATTACACACTAATAATAGAAAAATTAAAATTGGTTATTTTGGAGATGAGGTCTTGAGAACTATTGGAGAGGCTGGTACTGAACATTAATCCTCCTCATCTCAGCCTCCCAAGTAGTGAAAGATTACAGGTGTGAACCACTGGCACTCTGCACAAGCATGCATCTTAATCTTCCCAAATTGCCTTCCAGAAAAATATACGGATTCATGCTTCCTAACAGGTATTAAGTGATCATTAATTGTGTCAGAAATGTCACTGGTGCACTTAAAAAATTAACCCACATATTAAACAAAATGTCACTATATTTTTTATTGGTCCACCACAACCCTAGACTACTTATTATGGTAATACAAATTGAAAATTTACATCAAGTTGGGTGTGATGGTTAATGTCTGTTAATTCCAGCACTCAGGAAGCGAACATAGAAAGATGATGAGTTTGAGACCAGCCTAAGCTACACATGTAAAGACCCAGTCTCAAAACAACAAAAACTTACATCAATCTCCATGTGGCGAAACCTGCACACCTGTCGAAAACAGCGCCCTTCTTGCCATAATGTACAAACAGTTTCATTTCCTAATGCAGCTTCACAGTGACGAAAGGGGCAGCTGTCACCCTGTTAACAAACAGAACACAGAAAAGAACTGTGACACTGAAATATATCCTATGTAAAATGCCTGTAACAAGTTTCCTAGAATCTAAACAAGCACACAAGGGAAGGACAGCAAGGCAGAAAACAACTGAAATGCAGTAGTAAGAACAATCTAAAGACAACAAATTTTTAATATTCTATAACCTTTTTCTTTCTTCTTTTGTTTTGGTGGGGCTGGAGTCTAAACTCAGGACTTCCCACTGGCGAAAGGGCTCTACTGCTTAAGCCACACCTCCAGTCCATTTTGCCCTGGTTATTTTGGAGATGGGGGTTTCTCAAACTATTTTCCCAAGATGACCTTGAACAGCAATCCCCCCAATCTCACCCTCTCAAGTAGCTAGAATTACAGACTTGAGCCACCGGCACCCAGCTCCCGTAACTTATTTCTTGACAGTACCCTTCATCTGCTCTGACAACGTGAGTAAAACAGCTTACAGATAAGGGCTGTAAAAATGTATCTTATAGTTCATCTCCAAAACTGCTCATCCATCTTGACTTGTGTAACTCTAGCTTTTGACAGAAGACCAGAAAGTTTAAAAGACAAGAAAGTTAATAGATAAGGATTTAACCATAATTAATGTATAACATAATTATACTTCTCTCTAAACTTTATCTGAAACTAAATGTTACTGTGCAAACTGCTGTATGTAAAATAGATAAAATTGAGCTGGCAGCAGTGGCTCATTCTTGCAATCCTAGCTACTTGGGAGGATAAGATCAGGAGAATTGAGATTTGAGGCCAGTCAAGCCCAGGCAAATAGTTCAAGACCGCATCTCCAAAATGGACTGGAAATGTTGGGTATTGAACCCAGGGCTTCCTGCATACTTAAGCAAACACTCTATCACTGAGCTATACTCGCAGCTACAGAACTTATCATTTTAAATGCATCAAGATGATTTAAGAAAAAGTTAATGTACCATAGAAATTTACATAATTAGTCATAAAGAATTAACAGAAGGACTTGGGATGTAGTTAGATGATACAGTGCTCGCCTAGCATTGGCAAAGTCCTGGGAGGAAGGGAGAGAGGACAGAAATAGCAGATATACCCAGATAGCACTGCAGAAGACTTAATCAGAAAAAACAGGGCATTTTGATAAAGATAAAACCAAAGGGAGGAAAAAGAAACTACAAAAGCATACTTAGTTTTATATTCTTAGCAGCAGGAAATCTGGAAAAGGTCAAATTCATCCTGTAAGAGTTTCTGTGTTATACAAAGCCACTCAATTTAATACAAAATAGTAAAATCAAAGTTATCAAGTCACATAGGTCAAAGATATTAAACAGTTGAGCAAAAACAAAACAATTTGGGATGTAGGGAAAATCTTAGCCACTTTTAAGTGTATTTATAATATACTTTTATTAAAGAAAGTGTAGAAGTAACTCATTTAGGTTTGCCAATTCTTACTTTGGTACACGTAGAATAGAAAAAAAAATAGCAGTCTTCTCCTTGGTTAGGCATGCTGGGTAAATTCTTAGACCAGAAGTGGCTTTGTACAATAAGCCACTGATTCCTCAAGGAGAGGACCAGCTCCACGTCCTCTTGAAATGGGTTTAATCTTCCAAATGACAACTCAATCACAGAAATCGTCTTTAAAATGTAATCCTAAAATGAGAAGACAGTGAATTAAAGTATTTCAGTTAGATACTTCCAACTTTCTCTTCCAAATCACCCAAGAACCAAAAACAAAAAAAAAATTTACTCCAGTTTTGGGGCTGACAGAGTGACTTAAGTGGCAGAGCACCTACCTAGCAAGCATGAGGCCCTGAGTTCAAGCCCCAGTACTACCAAAAACCAAAAAAAAGTTACTCCAAATCACCCATTGTTAGAACCATTTTAAATGTATTAACATGTAAACAAACTAATTGTGAATACTGCAATTCCTGTCTACAATGTAAAATTTTTATGGAAGACAGACATGCCCTTTCATCTTTTGTATTCCTTATGGTGCTTGATACACTGCTTCAACATAAACTCTTATAGTATTGCTAACTAAATATGTAATGTATATTTTTAAAAAATGGAACCTGGTTGGCTTACATTTGCTACATGTTTTTTCCATCTAAGTAAAAAAGTTCAAATATCTTTTTTTTTTTTTTTTTTGGTAGCACTGAAAATTGAACTGCAGGCCTCATGACTGCTAGACAGGCACTCTCTATCAGCCCTTTCATTGTGATGGGTTTCACTGAGATAGGGTCTTGAGAACTATTTGCCCCAGCTAGCTTCAAAGCATAGTCTTCCTGATCTCTGCTGCCTGAGTAGCTAGGATTACAGGCATGAGCCACACTGGCCTTAAGGTAATCAGGTTTTTTTTTCTTTTTGGTGTTACTGGGGTTTGAACTCAGGGTTTCACATTTGCTAGGCTTGCTGGGCAGGCACTCTACCACTTGAGTGATTCTGCCAGCCCTATTTTATGTTGGGTTTTTTTGAGACAGGGTCTCTCAAACTATTTGCCTGAGCTGGGTTTAAAAACACGATCCTCCTAATCTCACCATCCCGAGGAGCAAGGATTACAAGTGTGAACCACCAGTGCCCAGCTTCAAGGTAATAATTTTAAAAACTGCCTCAAATGGGATCAAGTCTCTAAGATACATTTAAATAATTATAATGGCACATATGCGAACGAGAAAAACTATTAATCTGAGGAAAATGAAAACGTTCAATAGAAAAAAAAATTTAAAGGGGAAAAATGGCCTAGAGGTCACTTTTACTCCTGAAGGCAATATCCCAAAGAATATATACTTATGAAACTGTTTGTGGGAGGGGTCTTCTTTAATTAAATAAAATAGTAGCTTTGAAATGGTGAAAAACAGCATGAATTCACTGGGTGGTGGTGGCTCATACCTGTAATCCTAGCTATTTGGGAGGCAGAGATCTGGAGGATCATGATTTGAGGCCAGTGTGGGCAAAAAGTTCACAAGACCCTATCTCGAAAACACCCAACAGAAAATAGGGCTTGTGGAGTGGCTCAAGTGGAAGAGCACCTGCCCAGAAAGTGTGAGGCCTGAATTCAAACCCCAGTGCTACCAAACCAACAACAAAAAGCATGAATTCCTAATTTTTTGCAAATTAGACTCCGAAAAAGTCCCTGGAAGTTAGGCAGAGTGAGGAGCACTGAATCCTGAATAGACGGGCACCTTACTACCAATGTTTCAACAGAAAAGATCCTTTCTCTATCTGTTCTATACCCTGGGCTTTTATCATTTTCACTAGAATAAAAAATAATTCAAGAATATATTCATGAAAATGGCATTTTAAAAAACCCTATAAATTAAAAATTGGTAATAATATTATTCCAGGCAAAACCCCCCAAGAACAAGATGCACTCCAATAAGTTTAAGTTTTAAAAGGGGAAAAAACAATGCATTTTAGGCTATCAAGAAAGATCTACTTTTCAAAAAAAAAAATAGCTGTTTCAAAGTAGGAAGCCAAGATGAGTAACTGGCCCTCTTTCAAGCTCCTCAGATTAATGTGGGAAAAAAGAAATTCTTATACCATCTTCATGTTCTCACCAAGTTTTCAAAGACTTAGCATTCATACAAAAAAGACAGCTCTATGAAAGTAAGAGTGCAAAGAATAGAAACCTTAGAAAATAAAACTTGGGCCAGGTCCAATGGCACATACATGCAATTCTAGCTACTCAGGAGGCAGAGGTCAGGATAGAAGGTCCAAGCCAAGTTAACAAGACCCACTTCAACAAACAAGCTGGGTGAGGTAAGGCACCCACCCACCTGCAATCCCAGCATGCTGCAGGTATAAAGAGGTGGATCAGAGGCTGGCCGTGGGGCAAAACACTGAGACCCTTCCCATTTAAAAAATAATTAAAGCCAAAATGGCTGGGGGTATGGCTCAAGTAGTAGAGCACCTGCGGAGCATACCAGGGCCCCCAGTTCAAAGCCTAGGACCAGCAAAAAAAGAAGAAGCAAACACAAATTTCTGTCCTCTTCCCTCAAAAAAAAAAAAAAAGAGATTTTAACAGAGGAAAAACACAGATTAAACATTCATGAAGAACACAACTGAGTTACATGAGAGCTGTGACAGGACATCTCCCACAATCTAATAAAGTACAAAAAGAAGTGTCAACAAGAGAAAAGGTTTATGACATGGAAGTATTTCCAGGAAATTTAAGACAACGGACATTCTAAAAAGAAGGAATGGAACTGGTAGAGATAATAAAAGAAACAATACTAGAAAATTTCTTTACATTGGATGGTCTTGAGCCTTAAAAGAAGTCCATGAACTGCCAGACAGGAATTTTTCTTTAAAGATACCGCTACTACACATAGGTATGGAAAATTTTTGAATTCTAATGGTAAAGATTTCTAGGAAAAGCAGACTGACATAAGAAAAAAACCACAGTTCAAATTATTAGAACTCATCTGAAACTCTAAACACCAAAGGATAAAGTACCATACATCCAGAATTAAAAGAAAATTATGACCTTTAATTTAGCCCTCAAACTGTATTTCACAGATATGTCTAGACAGAGGATAAGTTTTTAAGACATGAAAAGTCTCAAAAAGTATACTCTGTATGTACTCCATGCATTTTTTTAAATAAACTATTCAAGCAAGTATTCTAACTTGAGAAAAAGAATTTAGTAAACATAAAAAAAAAAAAAAAAAAGGACAAAACAACAGATACCAATTCACTGCTTTTTCAAAAAAATTTTTTTAAACAAGCCAGGTGCTGGTGATTCATGCCTATAATCCTAGCTGCTCAGGAGCAGAGATCAGAAGAATGGCAGTTCGAAGAAGCCAGCCTGGGCAAACAGTTCACAAGACCCTATCTTGAAAATACACAACACAAAATAGGGCTCATGAAATGGGCTCAAGTGGTAGGGCACCTGCCTAGCAAGCGTGAGGCCCTGAGTTCAAACCCCAGTACCACCGAACAACTGTGCTTTGAACCTCTGATTTATGATAGAGATGAAAAATGTCAAGAAAGCATTAGCTAATTTAGTTGTGTATTAAAAAAATAACATTACATGACCAAAAAGGCTTATTTCAAGACTAAGAATGGGTTAATATTAAGAACTTAATTATATTAATAGAGCAAAGGGGATAAAATAAGACAAAATCCTAGTCATCTTAGCAAGATTTCAAAAAGGAAAAAAATGGTTCAAGAAGAGAAGAAAATAAAAAGGACTTAAAAGACAGGCGCCAGTGGCTCATGCTTGTAATCCTAGCTACTCAGGAGGCAGAGATCAGGAGGATCTCTGTTCAAAGCCAGCCCAGGCAAACAGTTTGTGAGACCCTATCTCAAAAAAAAAAAACCAAAACAACAACAAAAAAAACCCCGTCACAAAAAAGGGCTGGTGGAGTGGCTCAAGGTGTAGGCACTGAGTTCAAGCCCCAGTACTACAAAAGAAAAAAAAGAAAGAAAAAAAGGCTGGGAGCATGGCTCAAGTGATGGAGTGCCTTCTTAGCAAGTGCAAGGCCCTGAGTTCAAACCTGGATACTGCCAAAAACAATGAAAAAGAATGAAAGAATTTTACTCTACTTGATACCATAGATGATAAATATAAAAATGTTTTAATGTAATACTGGTAAATAAGTAAACAGATAAACAATTCAAGCTAGTTGATAAAAGTGATTTATGAAAAAAGTCGCATTTGAAATTAAAACAAAAATAGCCAGCCATTTGGAAAATTATTTTTCACATGTAAAAGCTCCAGGAGAATAAAAGCAAGGATGGCAAAAAGATGTCAGCTCACTAATTAGAGCACTATACCAAGAAAGATTCTGAATTCGAAACTGCTCAGCAGAGGACAAGCTATATTTGGAAATGTCTCCCCATGCCTGTGGGGGAGACTGGTAATACTTCACATTACTGCAATCCTCAGACAGCTCTTCTAACATAGAACATGTAATCACCCAAGTACCCACGAAAAATCATGGTATTTTTCAGAAGTTTAGAATGGGAAAAAACCTTCCCTATGATACCAAAGTTAAAAACCACAGCAATAAAACTGATAAAAAAGGAAAACACTTACATAGCAAAAGATGTATCAACAACATGGCCAAAGATTAGTATCTTTACTAAAAGGGATACAATCTAGAGCATTTGTAAATCAAGAAAGCCTCATTAGTTGTTCAGTAAATTGTTACACTCTCTTGTGAGAGTAATAGGTAACTTCTCATTTTGTATCCAAGAACTGGTTCTAAGGAAGTAAATTCACACAGTTGTATGCATCCAGCTGTTATTGGATGCATGCTATTTTTGTTTATAACAGCAAGAACCCAAATGTTTAACAACAAGGAATACATTAAATTATGGCATATCCATACAAAGGAACACTACAGACTCATTAAAAAGATGAAACAGGGCCATGTACACAGGCAAGGAACTATGACTGTGTTGTGATACATTACAAACAGTAATTTTTACCCAAGGAAATTGAATTATACATGGACTTCATCTTGGCTATACTGTTTGAACTCAGGTCCTCATGCTTGCTAGGCGGACACTCTACCAATTGAGCCACCTTGCAAGCTGGCTATACTGTTTTATTTACTTTTTACAGTGTGTATCTATTATCTAAAAAAGAAAAAAACTAAGAAAAAAGACACTTCCATTCCCAAACTAAAAGCTTATAAACAATTACAAGAAAGAATGTCTAGACAATGGTCTTTTAATTTATTTCTTGCTAGTCCAGGAAAACTATATATTATATATTAAATATCAAATTATACATTAAAAAAAGTTTGGTTGTTTAATAAGTAAAGGCCCATTTCCTCACTTACATTAGCTGGTTGCTCTCAACAGGAACGTCTGTGTCTTCACTGAGTTCCAATCTATTACGCCTGTAGGTCGAACCAACACTCAATCCATGAATTAATAATAATGAGGCAGAAAGAATTTTCCTCCTCACATTGCCAAGGAAACCTCTCAGCCACAAATGAAACACAGGACGTGTTTTTAAAACATTTTTAAAACATCTCCCAACTACTGGAAGATTAAGTCCATTCAAATAACCTTTGTCAGACTGGAGACAGCTAGCATTAGTTATCTCCTCAAAAAACAAAAACAAAAACAAAAACAAAGTTCACTTAAAGATGAACTTGAGATTCAAAGATTTTTTTTTTTTTTAAATCCATCTTCCATAGCCGAACAACATAATTTAAAAAGAAAAAAGACAAAGAGGAAAAAAAAAGTTAAAAAAGGAAAACACCAAAATTCATTAAGATCCAATTTCTGGTCTTCAAGATTTCTTCACCTATTAAGAAAAAAACAGAAACCTTCCCCCATCTTTATTATCTGTATAATAAAAGCATACTGTATGTAAAAATATAAAGTTTTAATGTATATAATATATATACACTAACTGGTTTATACACACACACACACATACACACATACAAATGTGTAGAAATAAAACATCTGGGTAAGTTTCTCCTTTTAAAATACATTATAAAAGCCTTTGATTTGGGTTCATTATAAAAACAGCGAACTTACTCTCATACCATAGTACCACATGAAGTTAACGTCACACTGAATTTTGCCTAGCCCACAAAATAAAGCTGAAGGAAAATCCTTACACAGCTGTCAATGTACATGATATTGGATGTATGTCTATCATCACCATCATCATCAGGGAGTGTTTAACCAAAAAAGATAAAAACGTATAGTTATGGAGTAACTGCAGAGTGGTGCAGCAAGCTGCAGAAGGCAGAGCAGCATTATAGCCATTCTGAACTGGCACGGTCCAAGCACAGAGGCTTCTATCTAAGGGAACTTTTTTCTTCTTTTATAGCAACACCAGCAACACTAGCATCACACTGAATACTGGCCCTGCAAAGGCTTGCTTACACAGCCTAGGTCCAAATTCTTTACTAATGATGGTAATTTCACTTCACAATGGTATATTTACCATTTAAGAATTTGAAAATTAAAAAAATTTAAAAATATTTTGATACACAGAAATGAGTTTTCCAAATTTTTGAAACCAGCCCAGTAACAAAGCAATTTTGATTCTTATGTAATAAATACTGCATAATATCTAGGCTAAATCTTGCCAAATACTATCCAAGACAAAACTAAAACCAAAACTTAAAAAAAGTGGACACCTTTTACTCACACTTAATACTAGTCAATTTTCCAGGATTTTTTTGGGCAGGGAATATCCCCAAATCTAAAATGAAAAAAAGGACAAATTGGGATCTTACATTAGTTATTCAGTCTGAAACTTTTAATAGACCTTTACTAAAAAGTCATCACTCTCTGGCCTCCCACTCCACCACAGAAACCTACTTTCAGAGTGGAAGGAACCGTAAGGATGACTGAGATCAGTTCACTCATATCACCAATGGCTCCTAATACATGCTGCTTATTTTTAGTATAGAATACGGTGGCCAAAACAGCTTCATAGTTAGTAAAGAATACAATATTATCATTATGTGTGCTTTTTAAAAGATCCACCTAAAATTAGAGAAACTTCTCTGGGAAAGTCACACTGGGTTGTCAAAGTATGTTCACAGGGCTTGCACTTCAAATCCCATTTAATCCTTTTAAATAGTTTATAAAGGTTTTACTATGTTATTTACCCATAACTATGCAAAATGCACCTATACAATCCTTACTTTATTATTTTATATTATATTCTAAAGGTGATTCAAAGATTAAAAGTAATTTTTCCCTAATTATTTTCTAATGTTCCCTTTTACATAGCTCCAATCCTAAACATAAAGGGTAATCCTTTCACACCCAGTAATCTGACATTATAAAGCTGACCAGTATGAGGAGGCAATTAGAAATTTCCAAATATAAACAATTTCATGGGTTTTATTTTTACAAAGTTGTAAGCATCAGGGTTTTTAAAGAGAGAGAAAAACGGGGAGGGGAACGGAATACCAATTTGGTAGTTGTTTTGTTTTTGTTGTTCTTTCTTTCTCAACTCATTGGTTTCAGAGTAATCAAATTTCCCACGTTGGGTGAAATTTTTACTTCAAACCAATAACTACTTCAACCTACCAGCTAGAAATAACCTAAGGCCTTTCGATGCTGCGCTATATTGTTTAATTAAAAATTCTTCACTTGATAGAAGCATTTTTCAAGAGCTAGCTACATCGTGTGACAACTGTAAAATCTTTAAAGTTAACCTTCATTTTATCAACATTAAATTGCTGCTGAGGAATTTTCAGCCCTTTTTGTATTTTCAGGTTTCCTCAGATTTTTTTTTTTTTTTTTTTTGAGATAGGGTCTCCCTGTGTTGCCCAGGCTGGTCTCGAATTCACGGGTGAAGTAATCTTCCTGCCTCAGCCTCCCAAGCGGGACTATTGGTGTGTGCCACCATGCCCTCCTGGTGTTTAAAGAATAATCAACATGACTCTACATAGTAACTATAGCAGTAAGGATACAGTAATATAGCAAAAGTTGCCCATTTTAAATAGAGAAAGGAATAAGAAATTAAGGTAATATTTCTTTTTCATTGTTTTGAGCAGCCTTAGTCTCTGGATCCCAGCTGAGAACCAATGTAGAATAATCGTAGTTAATGTTTTTCGAGTTCATTTTCAGAAATATCAGCTGTTCTGTATTGTCGAAGTCCATGTGCATGACCTGCTTTGGGTGGAAGTGACTATTTGTGGTAAACATACATTCAGATTGCCAACTGCACATGGGGCAACTTAGATACTGAACGGCAACTTGGGTCAAAGCTGGCCAGATGCTCGCCTTCCCCTGCCAGTAAATCAAAGGGTCATCACCTCCTGTGAGCTCTGAATACTTCTCTTTGAAGTACTCATCCACTACTGCTATAGCAGAAGGGAACATAAAGCCTTTGCTTCCAATGGCAACACTATCTGCAGCTGAGCTATCCATGGAACCTGAACTGGAGGTGCCTTCTTTTAAGGATGAGGTAAATGAATCAGCTCCCACTGTAACTAAGGGACCAGATACTTCTGAAGTTGCAATTTGGCAGGTTTCTGGTGAAGAGTCCATATAATTACAAACCTCTTCAGCAAGGATCTGTTTATAAATTTCTAAATCAGCACCTTGAGGAAAAAAATCTTCCAAACTGTTCTTAAAGCAAGGATCTAACAAAGTAGCCAAGATACAGGGCTTGGATTTGAGCATGGCACTTAGTAAGGTATCAGTTTCAAGTTTCAAAGATAAACTGTCCACCAGAGTGAGAGCCTGAGTAATACCTCTGACTTGAAAATCTTCTCTGAGTTTCTGCAGAGAAAGGAGTAGATGATGGATTAGGGGAAGCACCTGATTCAATCCTGTGGTCTTTACACTGACTTTCTGAGCAGCCTCCTCAAATGGCTTAAGAATATCACAAACGTAGGTCATTAGAGTCCACTGAAGGGAAGTGAGCACAACTCCACTGGCTCTACCAAGACTATGATGAACTGAGTAGCAATGCTCCAGGAGCCATTTTAACATATAATAAGTGGAAATCCAATGGCCAGTTTCATCTTGCTTTAAATTCTTCCATGGAAGTTGGTGATCATTTTGAAACTCTTGTAGTATCTGACGGGCCTTGACTGAATGACTGAAATGATGACAAGTTTTCCTAGCAGCCACTAACATGTTCTCAATGCTTTTGTGCTCACAGAAAAAGTCCTGAATGACTATATTTAGACAATGCAGGAAGCATGGTACGTGAGTAAAACCACCATCTTTGATTGCATGTACCACATTAGAAGAATTGTCAGAAACAATGAAGCTAGGGATAAGGAAATTAGGAGAAAGCCACAGACCAATCTGATCATTTAATTCTTGTAAAATGTTAGTTATCAAACAGTCTTTGGCCAAGCCTGTAACACAAAGCACTGCCCACTTTCTAAAATTGGGGACTCCACCATTATTGGAAGATGTGGTTTCCAAAGAGACCCAGTGTACAGTCACAATAAAGTAGTCAGTGGACGGGTCATGGGTCCATATGTCCACAGTCAGGTGGATCTTTTGGCTTTGAACATTCTCCAAAGTTAAGAAAATTTTTTCTCTGACACAGTCATATAACTGAGGCACAGTCTTAGTGAAAAAGTAAGTCTCTGATGGCAACCTATAGTCAGGAGCCACAATCTGCAAGAACTTCTGAAAAGCTGGGGTTGAGAAGTGGTTGTAGGGATGCATGTCTTCCACAATCATCTGAATAAGTGCCTGACTTATCTGACTGGAGGCTGGATTCCCGCAGTATGTTGTTCCTGTCTCTTGCGCATGCATTACGTCGTCTTGCTCTACAACGGGAACAGGACTCTCTGGTCTATTTCCAACCTCTAAAACAGGAGGTTCATCTGAGCCAGAGTCACTGAGGTCCTCAGCTGTTAAATCTTGGCTGCCTGTAGACTTCTCTCCATGCAAAGTATCATTCAAGGGATCACTGCTCTCACTCTCAGTCTCATCTAATCCATTTCCAACAGCACCATTGTCTTTGTTGGCAACAGCCCAATGGATGGGATGAGTGGCCTGCAGGTGTCGTTGAAGGGTTGAAGTTCCTAAGTGGGAGCCTGGTCTACCCCGGCTCACACTTCTTTTGCATATATTACACACAGCTCTTGAAATGTGCTGAGGATCAGTATAAAAAAAATTCCAGACTGCAGATGTCTTGGCTCTGGTTCCAGGAATTAAGGCATGCTTGACAATGTTACTTTTGATGAGAAATCTCCCTCTTTCTGCCCTCAAGGCGTCAGATGCTGATTTATCACGTTTCTTGCCCATTCTATTATCATCTAATGAATCAGTAGGAATATATTCAAAGCTTCCATTGCTTCCAGGAGAAGAGGGAGATAAAGAAACATCCAAGGCAAAGTCCTCCTCCCCACTAGTGACTCCAAACTTGTTGGCCCTGGTCCAGTGAGGTGAATGCCTTGCCTGAAGATGCCGCTGAAGTGTAGATGTACCAAGATGGCTGCCTGGCTTACCCCTGCTGACACTTTTTTCACAGAGGTTACAAATAGCCCGCCAAGTGTACTGGGGATCCACATGAAAGAAGTGCCACACAATGGAGGTCTTGGCTCTGGTACTAGGTAAATAAATTTGTTTTTCTATATTGCTCTCAAAAAGACTTTCTTCATCCTGCTCAGGGGCACTGGAAGCAAATGGAGCAGGGCCATCTGCCACAGGCCTCCCAGATCCCAAGTCCTTACTGAACTTTTTGGCAAGAATCAGTTTTTTTCGGCGCCTTTTCCCTTTAATTCGTGAACCCTTCTTTCTTTTCTTTTTGGCAGGCAACTTTGCCTCTTTATTCATTCCTTCTGCCACCATCTTTCCCTCTACCACATCTTCTTCATCTGTATTAGAACTAATGGAAACACATCCCAGAATCCCAGCACCACTAAAAGTGTTGCATCTTCTGCCAGGAGAGAGTGAGGAAACTGGTACAGATAAAGTACATATGCTCATTCTCTTTATGTCTCCAAAATTCGAACGAGAATCTGTCAGTGGGTTTATTACTCAAGCAGAAATCCAGCTGTTCCTCTCTACTTGCATTACCTTTTCTCCAGTTTCTAGGGAGAGTCAAATTTCCCGTGGACCAATGACTTCCAAGCCAGGTTATTTTTGGAGGAAAAATGACAGCAATGGAGGACATTCCCAAACTCTTTCCTAGAGGGTAAGATCCCTTTTAACTTTCTGAGTTTTGAATTAAAATAGTCCAGTGTCCTCATGTTATAGAAAAAAGAACTGAGGCCCACTTCCTCAGTCATAGAGTTGATTAACAGCAGTTAGAGAAGCCAGGTCTTCCAAATCTCAGGTTCATGTTCCTTCTGCTTTATCTGCTATCTGCTTTAAACGCCTTCAGTTCTTAAAATATGTATTTTTATGACTTCTCATGATAGCAACATCAATTTTCCCTTAATTCTGAAATTAATTATTTTCAGGAAATCTCACTTCAACAAAAACATAGTGCATCATTCAACATTCATCATTTAGGACTGTAATTTGCCAATACAACCCAAAAAGTCAATTATGGAAAGCTAAATCAGACTCCACATACTGGTCATTAACACCAAATGTTACTTGAGCCCTTTAAGTTCTGACTTGAAAAGTAATCCAAGTTTTCAAAACGTAGATGGCTGAGAAACTTGGGAAATAAAAATGTAAAACAAGGTAACAAGCTGCATTCTTCCTCTCTTCTTTTTATCAAGAGTTAACATGTTTAGACTGAAGCAGCTTGACGGTCTGTAAATAAGTAACTCACAAGCTGACACCTATGAACAGCAAAGACTGAAATACGAGCTTTAACCCACTTCCATTCCTTTTCCATTGACCCCTCCCTTCTCCCCAATACCTACACACATTTACCCTAAAAAGCATCGCTATCACTAGTTCCACATCCTCCTTCTCAAGGTCCAGAACCAAAGCCTGGAAGATGTCAACAATATGGGCCTTCCCCATAGGAATCCGCACCGACTGTGGGAGTTTAGGGGGTATTCTTCATTACGGTTTCACCAATCCTACAAGGAGAACGAAGTGTCCCTGTAGCTCTTGACTCCGAGGCTGGGGCTGGGGGTGTGATTAGAGTGGGGAATAGGTTGCAGGACACTTGAATAAGGTCAGTGACTTTATGAGTATCAGAAAACTCTCCAAAGTGATCGGGTCCTGGAGAGGAATGAGAGCAGGTAATCTTAGCCCCTGGCACTCGGCCGGATTCTGGCAGTGAGAGTCCCCTAAACTAGAGACACTGCCGCCCCAAAGAAAGCAATGCAATGTCAGTTCTCTCTCCGGGGATCGGGGACCAGTCAGCTTTCTGGGGTGGCTTGGGGCTCCCGGAGGGGCGAAGACCGGATGTGGGGGAGGGGAAGAAGGTGGTTGGGAAGGAGCAAGCGCCGTGGGGGCGCCGTGGGGTGGAGCGGGTGGGGGCGGGGAGGGTGGGAAAAGTGAACGGGAGCCGAGTTCCCGGCCCACCCCGGCGACCGCCGCGGCCGGGAGGCCAGGGGTCTTTACCGCAGGACTCGAGGACCCCGCTCTGACTTCCCGGGCTAGGCCGAGACCCAGGGGGGCGAGGGGAGGCCGCAGCCACTCCCCTCGCCCTCTTCCCCCACCTTTCTGGCCCCAAAGCCACCCGGGAATCAAAAAACGGCTCTAGTTACCAGAGAACAGAAACTTTACCGAACCGATGACACTATCTCTGACTCCCGCCTGCTGCCACGTCTTTCTTCTTTCTTAGCCGCGGCCGCCCGCCGTCCTCCCAGCAGCAGACCAGCAGAAACCCAAGACTGCCAGCGTCAAAGATGGCGCCCGGCTACAGGCTCAGCGCTAAGGCCCCGCCACTCAAAGTGCCAGCACGACGCAGAGCGCGAGGATTCTGGGAGATGTAGTTTCCTCTATGAGGCGACGCCTAAGATGGCTTCCCGGGTCACAGGGTCACGTGAGCGTAGGGCTGTGGGCTACCTGCCTTGCCTACCACGGCGTTTCTAAAAGCTCGGCGGCTTTGAAGCAGGCTTGGACCGCGTTTTCTGGTGGCTTTTGTTTTTTAATCCGACGAGATAAGCAAGAAAGCTGTCTACCAGACAATAAACGTGCAGTTTACTCTTAGCCAAAGTTTGCTTAATGAATGAATCGTCCAAACCGTGTCTAAATTTAATTTACAAACTGTAATTTTTTCATGCAATATTGAAGGATTTGTGAGTTTATTTTTATTTGAAGACATGAAATTAGGCTTTACGGCAGTTTCTTTTATTTCTTGAAAACAAATGTGTGTATTAGGACAGTAATTCATATGTTTTAAAAAAATTCATAGAAATGACCCAAACAATGTACGCACGTGAATAAATGAATAATAAAAAATAAAAATAAAAAATTCATGAGGGTTGGGGAATGAAAAGGAAAAACATGAGCAGTCGCCTCCCCATTTCATTGTTAACATTATCCTATATTTTCTCATTTGAGTGTTTTTACCTCTTTTTTTAAAAAAAATTAAATAGAAATTTAAACTCTGTATTCATCTCATTCCTGGGAAATAATTAACTTTTAGAATGGAAATATACATAAGCATATTACACTCATGTACCAGGAGCCCAAAATAACCACGGGTTAGTGGATCAGCAAAACTTGCTTAGGAGGCAACATTTTAGCTAACTTGGATAAAGGATACAGTGTGCTATTGAGAAAGGATACACTTGACCGTAAAGTAGGTGGGAACTCCAGGCACCTTTTATTTCCTCTTGCGCTTGTCATGCTAGCCCACTACTAGGCATCTATCCTCTGAGGAGTCTTGAGCCTCCTCACACATTAGAATTCTAGGTCACATGACAATACTCTGTGATTGCCATGTCAACCAGACCTAACAAGCAGATTCCTGGTACCCAGTTTCTGACTGTGCCACAACACCTAAGGATTTTTAATTTAACAGATGACTTTCCAAACAGTTGACAAATTTTATAGCCTAGGGCTTTCCAAGCTGCAGTGCTGGCCTGACTGGTATGCTATAAATAGTTGATAATTAAATCGTATTTCATCAAATCTAAATTATCATTGTAAAAATACACTCATTTTATGGATCTTAAAACGGAACACACACGCACTCTGACAGGCCCAATCAGAGATGTTAAAATTGAAGAAAAATGTTCAACTTAGAAGAATGAAATGCGTATTGTAAAAACAAGAACAGCAAAAGCACATATTTTACAATTTGCTTTTTTTCATTTTACAATACATCTTGAATATCTTTTAATAGTCATCTGTGCCTAGAAGCGTACCACATTCTTTTTAACAACTCCCATCCCACTCACAGTAAGGATCTTTTTGCAGCTGTTCCACCAGTCCTTTTCTGATGGAAATAACCATGTTTTGATTTCCATTAGTCTCTCCCAAAGTGGAAAAGAAAAACAGTGGAGTAATGGAAGTTTTGAATCAGGCAGAAGTTAAAAGCCTGAGGCTGTTGAAAAGAGGGAGAACAAGTTGGGAAACACTCTGAGAAGGGAGTCCTTATAGGGATTCCCCCCCTCCCCCAATATATACACACAGAGTTCTCAGGTGGGAGTGGACTTACTTTCCACTGTGTGGGGGTAAACGTATGTAGACCAAGGTTGTGATGCCAGATTGCCACTACCTGTAAAACACCCCAAGTTATAAATGAATTTCTAACAGTCTTTAGACCTCTTTTTTTTTTAATTTTATTTTGATTTATCATACATTAATAATGTAAGGAGATTTCATTGTGATAATTCCACACATGCACCCTCTTCATTATATTTAGATCTCTTGGGTTGGTGGGGTGGCTCAAGTGGTAGATGGCCTTCCTTCCTAGCAAGTGTGAGGCCCTGAGTTCAAACTCCAGCACTGTCAAAAAAAAAAAAATATATATATATATATATATTTAGACCTTTTTACAAAATAACTGAGAAAGCCTTCTAAGGTGCTGGGCAGAGATCAGGATGATCACAGTTCCAAGCCAGCCCAGGGCAAATAGTTCTCCAGACCCTATCTCAAAAAAAAAAGGATCACAACAAGATGCTGGCTGAGTGGCTCAAGTGGTAAGCGTGCCTGCTTAGCAAGCATGAGACCCTGAGTTCAAACCCCAGTGCCACCAAAAAAACAAAATGAAACGCACCTTTTAAGATGTTCACTGTGGTTTTGCTTTGGGAGCAAAGGTTTTGTAGAACCCTCTTGCAAAAAGAATGTAAAATCAGGGCCTGTGGAGTGGCCCAAGCAGTAGAGTGCCTGCTTAGTAAGCATGAGGCCCTGAGTTCAAATCCCAGTATCACCACAAAAAAAAAAAGCAGTCATAAGAGAATATTTATTTAGACAAGGAAAAAAACTCCCACAAATTACTCGTTAGGAAAACTTTGTGCTGGGCACTGGTAGTTCATGCCTGTAATCCTAGCTGCTTAGGAGGCAGAGATCAGGAGGACCTCAGTTCAAAGCCAGCAAGGCAAACAGTTCAAGAGACTCTATTTCAAAAAAAAAAAGTCACCAAAAAAGGACTGGTAGAGTGGCTCAAGGTGTAGGCCCTGAGTTCAAACCCCAGCACCTAAAAAAAAAGAAAGAAAGAAAACTTTGTGAGGGCGAGGTCACTCATACCTGTAATCCTAGCTATTTGGGAGGCTGAGATCTGGAGGATCACAGTTGGAGGTCAACAGGCAAAACTTTCTCAAGATCCTCTTCTCAACAGAAAAGAGGCCTAAAATAGCAGGACCACGGTCTAGGCCAATCTGAGCAAAAAAAAATGAGACCCTATCTCAAAAATAACAAGACAAAAATGGCTGGAGGCATGGCTCAAGCAGTAGAGTGCCTGCCTAGCAAGAGCAAAGCTTCGAGTTCAAACCACAGTACTGCTGTATATATATATATATATATATATATACATATATATATATAAAGATATATATATCTTTATACCACTAACATTACAAACTCATACTCAAAAAAGACAAATTATTACAGCCTCTTTAATACTTTTTCCTATCTATATATATGGCTGCATCCTCTTTGATCACTTCCTCATATGACAATTTTGTAATAATTTCTATAGAGAGAGTAAAAAGATAACTCAATCTTTCTTTAGTGTATTTTTCTTTTTTGTTTTCTTGAGACAGGGTCTTGCTATGTATCCAAGGCTGACCTCCAATTCACAATCCTCCTGCCTCACCTCCCAGATGCTGGGATTAAGGTATGTGTCACCATGCCTGGCCTTCCAACATCTTAAATAAAATAATTTTATTAATGGTACTTTAGAAAAAATTCTTTCAACCATACAATGTGTTTGTAATATCACGTAAGTTATAGAATTGTTGTTGAATTTGGAGAAACTTTTATCAAGTTTCTTATGATTATGGAAATAACCACATTTGGGTTTCTCTACTTTGGTCTCTCCCAAGGTGGAAAAGAAAAACAGTGGAGTAATGGAGGCTTTGAAGCAGGCAGAAGTTAAAAGCCTGATGCTGTTGAAAAGAGGGAAAACAAGTTGGTAAATCCTCTGAGAAGGGAGTCCATATAGGTATCTCCACCCTCAGTATATACGCACAGAGTTAATCATGGTTTAACCCCGGTGGCTGATTTATAGGATTTAGAAAGCCTAGGAGATTAGTAAAGCACACCTTTTGGTGTGTCTGAGGGCATTTCCAGAGAGGAATAATGAAGGGGGAAGAGCCTGAATGTGGACAGCACCATCCAGTAGACTGGGGTTCCAGATGGAATAAAAGGGGAAAAGGAGAAACCCTGCTAGCACTGCTAGCACAAGCATATTCTCTCTCTCTCTCTCTCTCTCTCTCTCTCTCTCTCTCTCTCTCCCCCCCCCGCCCCCCGCCCACCCCCTTTTGCTTTCTGGACACCATGATATAAGCTTCTCTGCTCTACCACTCCCTCCCCACCAAAATGGACTGAAACCATAAATTCCTCCCTAAGTGGTTTTTTGGGTTTTTTTTGTGGTACTGGAGTTTTGTACCCAGGACCTACACCTTGAGTCCCTCCACCAGCCCTTTTTTTGTGGTTTTGTTTTTCAAGATAAAGTCTCTCGAACTATTTGCCCAGGCTGGCTTTCAAACTGCAATCCTCCTGATCTCTCCCTCCTGAGTAGCTAAGATTACAGGTGTGAGCCACCGGCACCTGGCCCTGAGTTGTTTTTTCTCAGATATTTATCAAGATGGTAAAAATTCTGACTCATACAAAGACTTCATTGAATTATTTAATACATTCTTCACCTGGAGAAAACTGCCACTTTTACTATGTATATAGTAGTACCTTTTGCTAGTTAGCCAATCAGCCTCAAAATTTAGTGGCTTAAAACAAGCATTTATTACTTGACTATTTCTGTGGGTCAGGAATTTTGGAGCTGATTTGTTCTGGCTCAGAGTCTATCCTGAGTTTGTAGTCAAGTCATTGGCCAGCTCTTTAGTCACCTGAAGACTTGATTGGG